CCTTAGCCAGTTGAGCTATAGGCGCCGAGCCCATTATTTCTTATTAGATATGGGATAAAGATGTGGAATAGAGTGGACCAAGAAGAAACAGAAGAAAGCCTTTACATTTACATCTCTTCCTATTCCTCAAACTTGTCTTCACCTATGCTGCCCAGTTTTCAGCTTTCACATTTTCATACCCTTTCTCAATGAAGGAGATACATTACCATGTACTAACCCGAACCCAAATGCAACGAGAGATGCAGAGTTCCAAATGCGGCTGTTCTCACCTCCCAGTCCAGGTAATCACTGGCATCCTCAAAGTTAGTAAGGAGGGAGACAGAGCAGAAAAGTTTAGGCAGCTCCTCTCGGGTCAGGGGGGGAAATCGGCTGTCCTTAAGTGCACTGGAGGGGGACAAAAAAACAGGTAAGGCTGTTCTGGAGTCGGGAACCAGCATCAAGTGCCATAGAGCCCATGTATTTATGAATCCTGAGATTGGCGGAGAACATCTAGTATTCACCAATACTAATATGTTAGTAACAACTGGATACCATTTAGTGTTTATACTTGAACTGATAAATGACTCACCAGATTAAGGCCCTTACATTTCCAGATTAGCAAAAAGAAACTAATCAAAATGTATCAGAAGAAATAAAGTCAGGCAGTTGTTTCTGATTCTAGCCAATTTATCTACAGTTCTTAGTGTCTGGTGTCATTACCTGGTTAACGTGTATTCCCTGAGTCCTGAATGAAGATTCATGGCTGAGAAGGTTCCAATGCAGCCACGAAGCCGCTTGTCCCGCCCTGTCTTCCATGTCACAAAGAGTGGACTAAAAAAAGCAAACACAAAACATTCTCCAGCCCCAAATTAATCACGGATAAGAAAAAACCTTTTGGCTTTGTCCCTATTCATTTTGGTTACTGCCCAAAAAGATTGTTTTGTTTTTGAAAAGCATTGTTTTCTGATTTGCCAGCTACCTGGAGAACTGACTCTTTGCCTTTCTGCTTTCTGGAAGTGGCACAGCTCTTGGCTGGAAACCTGAAGGCCCTGTAGCCTTTCCTATGTTTCCATTCACTTTGATACCACATTTATGTGTTATTTTTCTTCTTCCACTGCCCAGGAACTTTACTTCCTTCTAATAGTCCACACTGTCCTCTTTTTTTTTGAGATGGAGTCTCAAGCTGTAGCCCTGGGTAGAGTGCCATGGCGTCATAGCTCACTGCAACCTCCAACTCTTGGGCTCAAGCGATCCTCAGTTTCTCTATTTTTAGGCAGAGACGGGGGGTGGGGTGGGGTGGTGTCTCAATTTTGCTCAGGCTGGTCTCAAACTCATGAGCTCAAGCTATCCACCCGCCTTGGCCTCCCAGAGCACTAGGATTACAGGCATGAGCTACCTCACCTGGCCCTCTTCTTTATTTTTATGGGTAGTCATGTTCCCTAGCTCCATCTTTTTTTTTTTTTTGAGACAGAGCCTCAAGCTGTCCCCCTGGGTAGAGTGCAATGGCTTCACAGCTCACAGCAACCTCCAACTCCTGGGTTCAAGCAAGTCTCCTGCCTCAGCCTCCCAAGTAGTTGGGACCACAGGCACCCGCCACAACGCCCGGCTCTTTTTTTTGGTTGCAGCCGTCATTGTTGTTTGGTGGGCCCGGGCTGGATTCGAACCCACCACCTTAGGTGTATGTGGCTGGTGCCTTAGCTGCTTGAGCCACAGGCGCCGAGCCCCCAGCTCCATCTTTCATGCTGCATACCTCACCTGTACAGCAGCCCTTATGTGTAAGCAACTTTTGAGATCCCATGTTATTCCCATAATTATATCTGCCCCTGGCAACTACAAACATTTCTTGCTCATATATTTTCAGGGAAAAAAAAAATCTTCTCAAGACAGCTTTTTATTAGTGGAAGTTGCCATTTTCTGTTTCTAGGCCATACTTTATTAGGCTGTAGTCTATCAGACTGACAGTACCAAGATTTTCTGCACTTACAGAGCAGACCTGTCCCTTCTTCCTGAGATCCCTCCAGAGTCCTAATGCTCTTATCTCTTAGAATGAGTGAAATCACTCCTGAAGGCCCAACTTAAGTTTTCAAAGTTACCTACTTCTTCGATCATTGTTACGAAAGCTACAAGATCTCCCATCTACCCATCTTTTCCTTCCAATGATACGGCTGCACACTCATAAACCCCTAAGAAAAGAATCCTACTGCCTGTGTAACAGAAACGTAAAGCCCTGAATACAGGAATCTAAACCAATGATTTTGAACCGGTGTGTCATGAGAGGATCTTAGATGTGCTACAAAAACTTTTAAGCATCAGGGCGACACCTGTGGCTCAGTGAGTAGGGCACCAATAAGGGTGGTGAGTTCAAATCCTGCCCCAGCCAAACTGCAACAGAAGGTAGCCGGGCGTTAGGTGGCTCAAAGGAGTAGAGCGCCAGCCCTATATGCCGGAGGTGGCAGGTTCAAACCCAGGCCCTGCCAAAAAAAGGAAAAAAAGACTGGAAAAAAAAATTGATGAAACTAGCCAGGTGTTGTGGCAGGTGCCTGTAGTCCCAGCTACTTGGAAGGCTGAGGCAAGAGAATCGCCTAAGTCCAAGAGTTGGAGGTTGCTGTGATCTATGATGCCACAGCACTCTACCGAGGGCAATAAAGTGAGACTCTGTCTCAAAAAACACCCCACACTTTTAAACATCAATTAAATTGGTGGCTCAGTGCCTGTAGCTCAGTGGTTAGGCACCAGCCACATACACAGGGGCTAGCAGGTTCAAACCCATCCGGGGCCTGCTAAACAACAACAACAACAACAAAAATAGCCGGGCATTGTAGTGGGTGCCTGTAGTCCCAGCTACTTGGGAGGCTGAGGTAAGAGAATTGCTTAAGCCCAAGAGTTTGAGGTTTCTGTGAGCTGTGACACCATAGCACTCTATGCAGAGCAACATAGTGAGACTCTGTCTCAAAAAAATAAAATAAAATAAAAATCAATTAAATTATTTTCAAAAGAAGTTCAGAACATAATAAGTATATTCTTTTTCTTTACTCTTTTTTTCTTTTCTGAGACAGAGCAGTATCACTATGTTGCCCTTGGTAGAGTGCTGTGGTGTCACAGCTCACAGCAACCTCCAACTTCTGAGCTTAAGCGATTCTCTTGCCTCAGCCTCCTGAGTAGCTGGGACTACAGGCACCCACCACAACGCCTGGCTATTTTTTTGTTGCAGTTGTCCTTGTCGTTTAGCAAGTCCGGGCTGGGCTCGAACCCGCCAGCCTTGTTGTATGTGGCCAGCGCCTGCCGAGCCTACTCTTTTCTTTTTAATCAACATAATTTAAGTGTGCCATGGAAGTTTAATTATCGGTTCAAGTGTGCTGTGAGATAGAAAAGGTTGAAAAATACTGCTCTAAACCTACCCTACACACTGAAGTCACCACCTGTTCTTTTTTTTTTTTTTTTGAGATAAAGTCTCACCAGACTCTAGAGTTGCCCTTGGTAGAGTGCCGTGGCATACCACCTATTCTTAAAAACCACATCCCTTTCTTGCACAGGACACCTGGATAGTTGGAAATTTGCTTTTTTTTTGAGACATCACTTTGTTGCCCTTGGTAGAATGCTATGGCATCACAGCTCACAGCAACCTCAAACTCTTGGGCTTGAGCAATCCTCTTGCCTCAGCCTCCGTGAGTACCTGGGTTTACAGACACGTGCCACCCTCTCCAGCTAGTTTTTCTGTTTTCATATATTTAATTTTTTTTGAGACAGAGTCTCATTATGTTGCCCTCAGGAGAGTGCCGTGGCATCATAGCAACCTCAAACTCTTGGGCTTAAGCGATTCTCCTGTCTCAGCCTCCCGAGTAGCTGGGACTACAGGCGCCCACCACAACACCCAGCTATTTTATTGTTGTTGTTGTTGTTGTTGTTGTTTTTTCAAACCTGGGGTTGGGTTTGAACTCACTAGCCCCGGTGTGTGTGGCCAGTGCCCCAACCACTGAGCTATGGGCCCAGAGCCTAGTTTTTCTATTTTTAGTAAAGAAGCAGTCTCACTCTTGTTCAGGCTGGTTGATTTCCTAAGCTCAAGTGATCCATCCATCTTGGCCTATCAGAGTGCTAGGATTACAGGTGTGACAGCTGCAAGTTTGACCAGGGTACCCTGGGATAAAACTTCCCTAAAAACTCACCACATACTGTTCTCCACACACACAGTAACCCCTGTACTATCTGCCTTGTGTGTGTATGATTTGCCAGCTCAATGTTGTCTCCCAAGAGCAGGCGCATTTTTTTTATGATGCACACCTCACCTATACAGCTGCCCCTATCTGCAAGCACTTTTGAGATCCCATGTTGTTCCCATAATTATATCTACCAATTACAAACATTTCTTGCTCATATATTTTCCACCACACACACCCTGCCCAGGAGTCTGCACAGCTTCTGTATGGCAATCAACAGATGAGGAATGAATGATCTTAGGTCAACAGATGCTCCAAAAGCATCTCCTAGAAATAAAACTCAAAAGCAGCAGTGTTCTTCAAAGCCAGCTCAGAGCTACTTCCAATTCTGAGGAAGACTGAAATGCCGGTATGAGTTTCTCTGCTTTTCTTTTACACTTTACACATATTGCTAAGGTGTTTTTTTTTTTTTTTTTTTTTGAGACAAAGTCTCACTTTGTTGCCCTCGGTAGAGTGCTGTGGTGTCACAGCTCACAGTAACCTCCAACTCTTGAGCTTAAGTGATTCTCTTGCCCCAGCCTTCCGAGTAGCTGGGACTACAGGTGCCTGCTACAACACCCAGCTTTTTGTTGTTGTTGTAGTTGTCATTGCTGTTTTAGCTGTTCGTGGCTGGGTTTGAACCCACCACCCTCAGTACACGGGGCCCGGCAGTACCCTACCCATTGAGCCACAGGTGCTGCCCAAAGTCTTTTTTTTTTTTTTTGAGACAAAGTCTCATTTGTTGCCTTGGCTAGAATGTGCAGTGCAGTGACATCATCATAGCTCACTGCACTCTCAAATTCCTGGGCTCAAGAGATCCTCTTGCCTCAGCCTCCCAAGTAGTTAGGACTTCAGGCATGCACCAGGATGACTAGCTGGTTTTTCTATTTTTTTTTTTTTTTTTTAAGTAAAATTTGAAGTTTCACTCGTGCTTGGGCTGGTCTTGAACTCCTCAGCTCAAGTAATCCTCCCATCTTGGTCTCCCAGAGTGCTAGGATTATAGGATCAGCCATTACTCTGCCTCATTTAAACCACTGACACTGTTGACGACTTGGGACAAGCAACAGGGTCTTGAACTAAAAACAGAAAAGCAGATTCTGACTTCCTAAGGGATTACCAAGGGACTACTGATAAAGAGTGAGGGGCCTCTTGCTAAAGAGCATCACTGTTCCCAGTGAATGAGACCCCTTGTCACTAGCTAGGCCCTCAGACATTTCCAGTTCACTTGGACTTCAACACTGGTAGGATCCCTAATCAAGTGACTCTTCCATTTGAAAGGTTAAATGACCTACGAACTGCCATGCAAACCAACACAAAAGCCAAGAACAAAACCCTTTTTGGGTTTTGCAGAACATTAAACAATCTACAGCCTCTTCCAAACATAACCTAGCCCCTCTTTCACTAAGTCTTCTAAACATTGCCCAGACATTTCTCATCATTCTCTTCCCACGACCCTTTGCTCAGATGATGTTAAAACTTTTTAAGCAGCAGAGCCTCTCAAGAGACTGACCCTAGGAAGATGCCATCATGCCCTCCTCAGTGCCCCAGCACCTGATTTACTCACTAGGGGTCATTGGTGAATCTAGGAAGTCGTGGCTGTGGGAAGCCATAGAGGTGACAGTAGAGTACATCAAAGCAGTAGCAGCACATCTCTGCAGTTACCACCAGATTCTTAGTGGTGTTGGCAGTTCCATTGGGCCGGGGGAGAGGGCTCAGCGCTCCCGACGCGGGATTCATTCGTGTGATGGGAGAGTTTCCAGGTCCTAGAGTTAAGTCTGACACATTCTCTCGTCCAGTGCTGCTGTCCACATGCTGGTGGTTTTGAAGAGGTCCTGAACTGGAGCCGGGGACAGTTGTGGACTGGTTCCCGTGACTATGCGTTCCACTTCCAGAAAGTTTGGGCTTCTTGACTCCACAACAGCCTGCTGCCAACTTGGGCTCCAGTGGAGGAACACAACGTCTTTTTCCCATCCTGATACGGTGCTCGAGGTCTGGAATGCTGCAGAACCCTAACCAAAACGAGAATAGTAAAGCATTAATTTGAATGGTTAAAAGGAGAGAAAAGAAATCAAGAGAGAGTCTGCATTACCAGGGTAAAAGGCTGTCAAATTATTTTTCCCATCTGCACCTCCAAGGCATAGGGTCAAAAGGATCACCAGAAGAGACCTCTAACCTTCTTAAAGGTGAACTATTTTTATTTTTCAAAAATTTTCCATATGATCAAGATGAATGGAGACAGGCAACAAACAGGTTCCACTCCCCAGAACTCCCAGGGCAGAGGGCTGGGGCAACAGCCAGCTTGTGAAACTGGATGAGGATACTTCCAAGCTGATGGAAAAGACAGCATGTGGCTATCAGACTTGCTATTGGGTTGCATTCTCTACCTTTTTTAGAGGCTCCAAACTGAACCATCCTATTTTTGAAGAACTCCAGAGGAACTTTCATGCTTTTCCTTGTTAACCACATCCTTCAGCATTTTCCTCAACACTAACTTAGATCTAACTTCGTGCTTTCAGCCTCAGCCCACAGCGAGGATAAAAAGCAGTTAGCTGTCCCTCTGAAGAGGGCCTGCTTCGAGCAAAAGGCTCCCACCTTCCTGCCTTCACAGCTCTCCCCACCGAGCCCCTCACTCATTCTCTTAGGTTCCCCTCTGAACTCACTCCCATTTCTATATATATCCCTATCTTTTCAAGACCCTATTCAAAAAACTGCAACCTGGCAGAAACCTTTATGTACACAAATGACCCAAGTTTCACAGTCCTTTTGTGAGGTAGCCATTTCTGCCCTGTCATAGCCAGGCAAACAGATGCAAAGCCACCCAGTGCAACAAAACGTGGCACCACATAGGCCAAGGATACACAGCATCCCAGTGAATAAAATAAAGGGAGGAAGAGTTTGTTTTTTTTGTGGGCTGGGCACAATGGCTCACACTTGTAATCCCACCATGCTGGTTGGTCTAGGAGGTTAGACTGAGCTCAGGAGTTCAAGACCAGCCTGAGCAAGAGACCCCATCTCTAAGAACAGCCTGGTGGTGGCCAGGGATGATGGCTCATACTTATAAATCCCAGCACTTGGGAGGCCGAGGCAGGTGGATTGCCTGAATTCACCAAGGTTTGACACCAGCCTGAGCTAGAGCAATACCACGTGTAAAAATAGCCAGGCATTGTGGTGGGCCGCTGTAGACCCAGCTAGTTGGGAAGCTGAGGCAAGAGAATTGCTTAAGCCCAGAAGTTTGAGGTTGCTGTCAGCTATGATGCCACAGCACTCTACTAAGGGTGACAAAGTGAAGACTGTCTCAAAAAAAAAAAAAAAAAGAATAATTTTTTCTTAAAAAGCCCAAGGTAAATATGTCAGCTATGACGTGACCAAGGTCCTCTCTTTTCTGTTGTTTGAAAAGTGTCAACCCTCAACAGTCATGAATTCAAACTTTGATAATACCAAAATTGTAAATCTGAGTGACCTGGGAAAAGTATATTTAGTTTTTTTTTTTTTTTTGAGACAGAGCCTCAAGCTGTCCCCCTAGGTAGAGTGCTTGTGGCATCAAAGCTCACAGCAACCTCCAACTCCGGGGCTCAAGTGAGTCTCCTGCCTCAACGTCCCAAGTAGCTGGGACCACAGATGCCCACCACAATGCCTGGCTATTTTTTGGTTGCAGCCGTCATTGTTGTTTGGCGGGCCTGGGATTGGATTCGAACCTGCCACCTTAGATGTATGTGGCTGGTGCCTTAGCCATTTGAGCCACAGGCGCCGAGCCAATACTTAGTTTTTTCCTGAAATTATTATATATCTTGTTTTTTTGGCCACTAAAAAAAAAAGAAGGGGAGGATAGAGTATTGCACTGTCCTACCTACATTTTTCCCTGTGATTTGGACATGTAGCACACAATTGTCTTTTTAGACATCATTCTATAACATCGTATTTCAGTTGTAAATTCTACAACCACTGACATCAAACTAAATATTTACATACTCATTTGCAATGCCATTATTTCTACACAAACAACTTGTCACTTCAGGTTGAATGACAGAGAAAATTTTACAAATACTATTTATGTTTTCATATACACTCAACTGTAACAAAGTACACATCTAGGCTCACGGGCATCCATTTTTTTCTTTTCTTCCACAAATCAAAGAATCAGAATTGCCGTGGGGCAAACATTAAATACACAAACACTAAGGAAAGCAGATGATGGAAAAAACAAAAGGTCTATGCATATTTTTCGTGATATCCTACACCACAGATAAGCAAGACCGTCCTCACATGATCAGCATGCGGTCTGTGGGCTGCAGGTTGGACACCCCTGATGGGGCAATTCTGAGTGAGATGAAAGTTGTCTGTGATTGAGAAATAATAGCTTGCACATTCCAGTGTCTGGCTTGAAACAAGGGTTTCTTTTGGAGAAAACTTCATATGCTTGACACAATAAAACCTCCAATGAGTAGACTGTTTCTGAGCATGGACGTCACTATCTTATTTAGACTACTGAGAGAGCAGGGTTGTCTTGGTTAAAAATCTACCTTCAGGCTTGGCGCCTATAGCTCAACCGGCTAAGGCACCAGCCACGTACACCTAAGGTGGCGGGTTCGAATCCCCAGCCCAGACCCGCCAAACAACAATGACG